CCATTAATATGGTGTTTCAGCAAACAAAAAAGATGGTAATCCAATGGTGCCATATCTGAAGAATATGGTGGGTGGGGGAGAACTTCCCAACCCAACTCCATAATCTTGCATCATGTCAAACGTGCCATATGTGGACGTGCATTGTCATTAAGAAGAACAACACTTTTTTGATTGAGGAGTGAAGGGCATTTTTGATGAAGGGCTTGATTTAAACATTCCAGTTGCTGACTATAGATTTCTGCATTGACAGTTCACTGTGGATTGAGGAGTTTGAAATGAATTACTCCTTTGATGTACCACCAAATGCAAAGCATCACTTTCTGTGGATGGAGTCCAGGTTTTGGGGTCGGAAGTGGTTTTTGTCTAGGACTGAGCCATTGTTTTTGGCATTTAATATTTGCATAGAGAATCCATTTTTCATCACCGGTGACAATTTTGTCCAAAAATGGTTCACGCGCATTACGTGCCAGAAGAGATGAAGCAATGTTCACACGTTGGAAACTATGATCATATGAGAGTTTGTGAGGCATCCAACACCTTCATTATGGAGTTTCCCATATTCCTTAAATGTTTACTTATTGTTTCATTACAGACATGCAATTTCAGGGCCATTTCACGAGTATGTTGCTTGGGTTAGACTCAACAAACATCTTCAGAGCATCAATATCACTTCTAACATGTTGGCCCCTGCCATAATAGTTTTTAAAGCTAAACTCACCTGAATGCAATTTGCTGAACCATTGTTGAGACTTACAAACATTCAAAACATTTCCATAACTTCTTTGATATTCTTTGTGGCTACAGAGGCATTGTTTCCCATCTTGTATTCAAACAGCATCACATGCCAAATGTGTATCTTCTTGTGTGCCATCAATATAAGGGATTAGATTATACTAAACTTTACACCTTATATAGGCTACGCTAATGTGATGTTTAGGCAGTTCATTTAACTATTATACGTGATGTACATTTTTTGGGGTGGTTAATGCAAGTGTTCCAAAACACGACATTCATTTCTTGATGGCCTAATATACTGGAGTAGAAAAAAACTAATGATCCAGCCCAAATTACTTATCATTAACATTTTTTGATTAAAATAAAATCAAATATACAGAAACTTACTTCTATCACATACTTTCACCATTTTCCAGCTTTATGTAAAAAAAAAAGGATCAAATAAACGTTGTGTCACTAAAAGAATCAATCAAGTAATCGAAATTAGGGTCTCTGTTTAACTGTCCAAGTAAACAAAATAATGCCATTATGTTTGTTTTTTGATAAGCACAGACTTACTCAATGGCCTAACTATGCTCTGCACATAACATGTAACAAAACCTGATTCTAAGCTTTATAAGTTGTTTTTTGTAGAAAGGTTAGTAACCAAGGTAATGTATGTGGGTTATCATGATTTAAAATACAAGTACAATTTTGATGGGGATAACTTTAACAATGCTTTAGAAGAAAAGAATCTCGGTGTTTTGGTAGATCAGCCTCTTATGACATCCAAGCAGTGTGCTCATGCTAGTAGTGAGGTAAATAAGGTTTTGGATTTTTTTTATAGAAATATCGAATATAAGACTACATAGATTATAATTTCGTAGTATTGGTCCCTGGTTAAGCCTTATTTGGAGAACTGCCTTTAGTCTCAGGATCCTTACCTTAAAAAAAGAAAGAAAAAAAGGAGCTGTTGGAAAGCTTTTAAAGGAAAGCTGTTAGGATGACACTTGGGATGGAAAGGTTGTCATATAAGGCCAGGTTAAGATCTCTCAAAATGTTTCTCTAATGTAAATTACTTTAGTAGACATTTTGTACAACATCAAAATATTTAATAAAGTCTAACGTTAGGTCGAAGAATAACATTATAAGTTTATTTACTGATAGTATTAAGTACATTAAAATTTAGCCTTAACTAAACTAAAGCAAAAACGTACACAAGTTAAAGTGTAAATTTATATAGGCTGTACTAAATAAAGGCTTAACTAAGGATAGACCTAAGACAAGTGGGCTTATACTACAAGAATTTTAATTGCAGACACGGAAAACTGTAAGTTATGGATATCTTGCTGTTGCAATAAAATACTAATTTAACCGCAAATGTCTGCGGTTCTCTGCCATTTATTATTATTCAGTCATAACGTTAGCAGTAATACTAATAACTCGTATATTAACTGCATATTCCCAATCCTTACCTCGAGGACGGATATAAGTCCTTTAATTAAGGCCTCTTTGTCAATAGGTTGACGATTGATGTCAACTTCAGCAATTTTGAAAACAGCTGAAGTTGCTACAACTGTTGCAAGTTCATCTTTACGAAATTTTCTCAAAATCCTCTTTAGTCGTGTTAGTATAGGATCTACTTCATTGCGATTTACGCTTTGAACGTCGTTGTTAGGTCTAACTGTAGCACTATTTTGAGTTGGAATAGCCAAACCCCCTTCTGACATTTTCGAAGAAAACAAACTTCTCTTACACTAACAGTTTAACTTAAAGTTAAACTAGACATTATATAATTCTATTAAAGTTTAGATCGTCAGGTCAACTTTACTTATACTATTCATAAAAGAGTATGCTACTAATAGTAACATAAATATATCAGTCAAAAGAATCGTGTATTACTAATATCAATCTCAAAATACGTTTACATTTTACGCGCTTCGAAACTTAGCAATTTCGCAGTGGTCTTGTTGCCACCTTTTAACGTAAAATGTAAGCTTAATATTAAAATATATTATCGCAGATATGGTGATGTTTGTTTTTGTACTTAAGCACAAAGCTACACAATGGGCTATCTGTGTTCTGCCCACCACGGGTATCGAAACCCGGTTTTTAGCGTTGTAAGTCCGCAGAAGTACCGCTGTGCCACTGGGGGGCTGATATGGTGATGTACTTTTATGTATATACGAATAGAATATTGTTACGTCTCTGGTCGTTTATTAATTTTCCGTAGAAATTCTTTCCGAGAAACTTCAGCGATACAAGTCCTTTCTTAAATAAAACTAGTTTATTCTTTCTCAACTCAACTTTGCAATACACTTATATTCCACAGTTACATTAACTTAAACGCACAATATAATTCACAACGATTCACGCACTTTACTTACGGTCACTACCGCGCTTGACTCAATTGTCCGTCTCTGTCTGTCTGCAATTCTATTCCGCCTGTCGTTGTTGTTGTTGTTCTTG